CCTCCTTCTCCATGATCTTTGCTGGCTGTCTTCTGCCCACCCCTCGGCCATCAAGCTTTTCTCAGCAGTGGTCCCTTGGTCTCCTTGCTCGTTTTCTTTCCTTTTTAAAAAATGTTTATTCATTTTTGAGAGAGAGAGAGGGAGTGCATGAGCAAGGAAGGGGCAGAGAGGTGGGGAGGGACAGAGGATTCGACGAGGGCTCTGTGCTGACAGCAGAGAGCCCGACGTGGGGCTCAAACTCACGAACCTTGAGATAACGACCAGAGCCAAAGCTGGACGCTCAACCAACCGAGCCACCCAGGCGCCCCTCCCTTTCCATTTTATGCTTTCTCTTTGGCCAATGCCATCCACCCCTTATAGCCTCCGTCTCCATTAGGACTTATTTTTTTAAGGATTTTATTTATTTTATTTTTCAAAAGAGAGAGAGAGAGAGAGCAGGGAAGGGGCAGTGAGAGGGAGGAGAGAGAGAGAGAGACAGAGAATCCCAAGCAGGCTCTGCACCACCAGTGTGGAGCCCAACATGGGGCTCGAATCCACGAACCACGAGATCGAGACCTGAGCTGAAACCGAGAGTAGGAGGCTTAACCCACTGAGCTACCCAGGCGTCCCCATTAGGATTTAGAGTATGTTGTTTTTTTGAAGGAGAGGAAACGGGAAACAGTGGCTTACCCAAGAGAGGACGTCCGTTTCTCCGTCGCGTTCGAGACCGCTGGAGCCGGGGGTCTTGAAAAGCCCGAGATGCCGTGGCTCCTCTCCTATCTCTGAGCCTCACAGGGCCCCGAAGGCCCAACCAGGAGTCTCCCTGCTTTTGTCAGACATGTCCTCCATCCGGAGGGAGAGGCTCCCCACCCAGCTACCTCCTCTATCGGCCAGACCACCTGCACCCCATCGGGTCCTCCGCCTAATGGGTCACCTCCCTGGCAGCCTGAGAAATCATCCAAACATGCCAATCACACCCCCTCATGGGAACCAGAGGTCACCTCCCCCTTTTGTCACTACAAAGCCTGCCTGCCACAGCGCCTGCTTTTTCATTTTTTTCTTTATTAAAAAATTTATCCCAGGGGCGCCTGGGTGGCTCAGCCAGTTAAGCGTCTGACTTCGGCTCAGGTCATGATCTCTCAGTTGGTGAGTTCGAGGCCCGCGTCGGGCTCTGTGCTGACAGCGCGGAGCCTGGAACGTGCTTCGGATTCTGTGTCTCCCTCTCTCTCGGCCCCTCCCCTGCTCACACTCTGTCTCTGCCTCTCTCTCTCTCAAAAATAAATAAACTTAAGAAAAAAATGTATCCCAGCTTCTTGGTGATTATTTGCAAAATTTGCACTAATTTGAGCATGTTGTGTTATGAGTAAGCAATTTTCATTCTAAACTTTGGAGGCCACAACTTAAATAACTATGCTAATTTTAATCGCGAATTTGGTGACTATTCTAGTTGTTTTGACCCTGTTTCTTGACTTGGCTCCCACGTGCGCCACCCCCATGTGGCTCCCCGCGTGGCATGCCGTGTCCTTCCCTCCTCCAGGCTGTGATTATATGTGAATAATAAACCAACACCAGTTTTTTCTATCCAGGGTTGGCTGTCACGTGCGTGGCTATCTTGTATCATTTAGAGCAGACCCCTCCTTCACCAACAGGGTGGGTAGGAGGTGATCAAAACATCATTGCAGGGATGGCCTTCCATTGTATGTGACACCCAGGTTGCTTCTATCTTGTCCCTCCACCATTCAAGAATAGTGGTCTTGACGTCACGGCCCAAGATGGCTGATGGAGTTCCAGCCATCACATCCACATTCCAACAGTAGGGAGGAGAAACGCACTCCTTTTTCCTCAAAGTGGCACATACCACCTCTGTTTACACAGTCATATGGTTGTACCCAGCTGCAAGGGAGGCTGGGAAATGTGGCACTTTATCTTAGGCAGCCATAGGCCCAGATAAGTATCAGCGATTTTATGAATTTGGCTCAGATTTGAAGGGCTAATTAGCCAGATGAAGGCCGATTGAGAAGTTTGGCCTTAGCCTGGGTCTTGAGGTTGAATGCCATCAGAGCATGAGGGGAAGGCCCAAGGCATGCCTTGGGATCATTAGTGCGTACTGATTTAAGGCCCCTCCTTTCCTTTCCTTCCTTCTTTCTTTTTTTTTTTATTTGAGAGAGAGAGAGAAAGAGAAAGAGAAAGAGTGATCATGAGCAGGGAAGAAAGACATAGAGAAAGAGAGAGAATCCCAAGCAGGCTCCACACTCAATGTGGAGCCTGACATGGGGCTCGATCCCACGACCCTGGGATCCTGACCTGAGCTGAAATCAAGAGTCGGACGCTCAACCAACTGATACCCAGGTGCCCACCCCGTTTTTTTCCCCTTTCCTTTTCTAATTGGGAGACTACATTTCTCATCATCCTCTTGCCCTCTTTAACATCAACCCCCACCTCCTCCCCATACGCCCCGGCAAACAAAATGAGACCAGATTGCTGCCCTAGCTGCCCACAGTGTTCCTGCAACTGTCCCTTGTCCCCATGACCCTACAGTCCTCCCTACTCTGAGATCAGAGCCAACACTGCCTCCCCGTGCAAACCTCTCCCACACACACAGACACCATCCTCCACGCACGCATTCCATGAAGGTGTCATAAATGCTGATTATGCCGGGCCCTATATTCGTGGACCATAGTCCTCCAGTGCTGTCCCTGCAGAACTCTTTGCTGGGTAGGGGAAGGCTGGACCAGGCAGGGCAGGGCTAGGAAAGGCAGGGCAGGGCTCGGCAGGGCAGTGCAAGGTAGAGGAAATGGAGTTTGTCGCAGGGAGATAAGGCCAGCAGGTCATTTACAAGAGCAGTGATTAGGTTCCTAGCTAATCAGCGCGGTCCATCCTTCTGGCCACGGGGACTGGTTCCAGACGGACATGTGACCAAAGCGAGGCCAATGAGATGGAAACTTGAGACTTTTCAGTTGGAGTAAAGCTCAGAGTGTGCCCATGTTGCTGCTGGGGTTATCTTGGCACTCAACAGAGAAGCCTGCTGAGAGAGCTGAGAGGCAAAGGATCAAACGAGATGTGATTTGAGCCACTGGATCCAGCTATGCCTGAATGATACATCCACTCGATGTTTCTGTTCATGAGTCAATAAATGCCCTCGTTTGCACCAGCTAGTTTCGTTTGGGTTCTCTGTCCTCTGCAACTGAAAGATGCCTGTCAGAAGCAGTTTGGTTCTCACCGGGGCCAGCATCAAGGCAGTAAATCCAGTAGCTCTGTGAGGCTAGTCCCATTACTCTGCTGGGGAGACTGAGGACACTCCGAGCTAGCAGCCACTGGTTCCACATGGAGATCTTGGGCTGAGGACTGTTTCTCTCTTCTGGCTGAAACTCAGACCTGTCTCCTGCCCTAGCCCTGAGGGACCCTGAGTGTCTCCTGTCATGAGTGCACGCCGTCCTGGGAAATGTGGGCAAATGACCACCTCCCAGCTTCTTCCTTTGCGGGAGGGGGGTTAACAATGCAGATACCCTCTCTGTCCGTCATTCCCCCACATTGGTCCCTTCCTCCCACTCCCCTGATGTACTGCCGTCTCTCCGTGGCTCAACCTCCCACTCTCCCTGGCAGGTGATGTCTGGAGCCTGCCAGGCGCCCCCAAGCCTCACCATCAGGCATTTACATCTATTTAGGGCTGGGGCCTGTTCTACCCAAAGTGCCAGGGAACTCAGGTCCTGCAGCCTCAGCCCTGAACCAGTGCCTGAGGGAGGGAGTTGGAGAATCAATAACCCAGCTCCCTCACCCCTCAGGTAGGACGTGTGTCCTACAAAATCTGCCAGCACTGCCCAGCAGGACCGAGCCCTATGTCTCTGGTGGGAACTTGTTTGATAACAAGCGTGACAAACCGTCCCAATTTGCCCAGGACTAAGGGTTTCCTGGGACTCAGGGTTTTGAGTGCTAAAACTGGCGAGTTCTAGGCAAGTTGATTACCCCAGAGATAACTCGTCATTGACTACTTCTTTCCTTCCCTCTGTCATTTCCCTGCTCCCCTACAGCTTCTTTGTCCAAGACAAATGCACTCAATCCTTGTCTCAAGCTCTGCTTCTGGAAAACCTCCCCCCCCCCCCCCCAACCTTCAACCTCCTTCATGCCCTTCACACAGCCCATCGGCTCGGCCACTTCTGAGCTGAGCACTTGTAAGGGGCAGATGTGATGCTTAGAATTTTCTGTCCAAAACCTGGTTTTGCCTTTGAGGAAGGAAGGGTATTCTGTCATCTCTGTCCTACGTGTGGGAAAACTGAGGTTTGGGCAGGAAAACGATTTGCCTGAAGACACCTTGCGGGTAAGTGGTGCATCCTGGGAGATGGGATCTGGGGCAGAGGTTGGCTTCTTCCCCCACGCTACTGCTCTGGTGTAAAGGCCAAGGAATGTGCCGGGAACCTTCTCACCCACCTCAGATGTGTTATCTCATTTAATCCTTATACCACTCCTGGGAGATGAGACGACCACTCCCCACTTTGCAGAGTGGGAAACCAAGGCCCAGAGAGGTGCCAGAGCCCAGGTTCAAGCCCAGGCAGGCTGGCGCGGAGTGCATATCCTTAACCACCCTTAACCACCGGGCTCGTGCTTCAATACGTGTAATTTCCTTTCAGGCAGCTGCGGCTGTGGCCATTCAGGGAGGAGGAGGAGGGGCCCAAATGGCAGGCCTGGCTGAGAGCCCCCAGGCTGGCATCTGGGCTGGCAGGCTGAGCCCAGGCCTGCCCTGACCCCTTGCTGCCAGCCCCAGTTCCTTGGGGACCCTCCTGTGGCCTGAAGCATCTTCCACTCCTCTGCCCCCACCCCTATTTCTGCGGTTGGCCCAAATACCAGACAGGGCGAATCTTAGCTTTCCCCCAAGCATTCCATGCTCCTGTGGCCCGGCCCAGGCTGGCCGAGGTTACGCAAGCTGAGCATGGGTGGTTGGTGGGGGTGGGACCGAGGGGACGGGCTGGCCTGTCCTCGCCACCCCATCCGGCAGCCCTCCCACCCTCCCCAGGGCAGGGCGGGGAAGGGGGTGGGCCGGCTAGTTCCCCACCCCCACCCCCCAGCCCCTGGGAGAACAAGCCGGGTGGAGGGTGGCCTGTGCCAAGAGATGGGGGGCGGTGGCGGCCACGGAAGAGGCTCCAGGAGGTGACCGCCTGGTTTCCATTAGGGAGCCCTGGTCGGCATTTCAGGCGAGACGGCAGAGCTGGGGCTGGCTATGGTAAGGTGGGGTGGGGGCGGGAGGCCAGGGGAGGGAGGGGAGCCTGCCTGCTCCCCCCTCCCCCCCCGCCCCCCGCGGGGATGCTCCTGTCGCCATGGTGACCTGGTGCTGGGCCTGGGGCCACCGTGACCCATCAGTCCCTCTACTCCCAGCGGCTGAGCCTGCTGCTGCTGCTCCTGCTGCTGCCCGGCCCCCCACCCGCCCCAGGCATGGAGGACGCCGCCTTCCCCCACCTGGGGGAGAGCTCGCAGCCCCCGCCCCGGGCCTGCCCCCTGCGCTGCTCCTGCCCCCGGGCAGACACAGTGGACTGCAATGGCCTGGACCTTCAGGTGTTCCCGGACAACATCACCCAGGCAGCTCAGCACCTCTCCCTGCAGGTGGGGCCCTGGGGGCCGGGGTGAGCACGCCAAGTGCCGGGTTTCAGGGTGATAGGGTGATGGGGTGTTGGGCGTGCAGGTCTTGGCAGCGATGGAGGCTGGCCTGGGTGAGAGCGTCGGGGTCTGGGCATTAGAGGTGAGGGCAGGTCGGGGGGCGGGGGGGGACAGACACTGGAACTTTTAGGAGGGGCTGAGCGTTTGGAGGTGTTAAAAGGTCAATGTCTTGGCAGTAACGGGTTTTGGGGGGGGGTCAGAGTGATGGAGCATGGGGGTCAGGTGTGGGGGTGATGAAACGTCAGACAACATCTTTTTGGTTTATAGGGTTGTTTGGGGTCAGGGTGATGGGTGTCAGGGGTCAATTATGGGGGCAGATGGGGTGTCGGGGGGTCAACATCTTGGCGATCACAGGGTTGTTTGTGGTGACGGGGTTGTTTTGGTTGCAGGGCAATGGGGCTTTGGGGATCAAGTGTGGGGGTGAGGGGTGTCAAGGCTTACTTGCTTAAGGCGATGGGGAGCTGGGAATCGGGGCTCCGGCCACTTGCGGAGGGCTCAGGGGTGTGAATCCTCCCCCCAGAACAACCAGCTCCAGGAGCTCCCCTACAATGAGCTGTCACGCCTCAGCAGCCTCCGGACCCTCAACCTCCACAACAATCTCATCTCTTCTGAGGGTGAGGGGTGAGGGGACCTCGGGAGGCGGCCCCTTCCCTCCCCTGCTGGGTCTGTGGGTAGTTCTGCGGTAGTTCCCAGAACTGCCCTTTGCTGAGCAGGATGGAAACTCAGGCTGTGGCTTTGGAGGACGGGTGGGGAGGCGTGTGGGAGGGTGCCTGGAGGAGCCCCTGCCAGTCGCCAGCCAAGAGCCCTGGGGCAGCTGGGAGCACAGAGTCCCCCACTGCCCCCTCCCTGGGCCCCGGGGCCGCGGGGGGTGGGGTCCCCTCACTGCCCATCCCGCTCCCAGGCCTGCCCGATGAGGCCTTTGAGTCCCTCACGCAGCTGCAGCACATTTACGTGGCCCACAACAAGGTGAGCACCCCTACCTGACCCCTGCCCCGGCCCTGAGGCCTGGCCCGCAGGGACATACAGCAGAGCGCGGAGGGCACGGCGGGGGTGGGGTGGAGGGCAGGGCTCCCTGACCAAGCATGGCCGTGTCCCCACAGCTCTCGGTGGCCCCCCAGTTTCTGCCCCGCTCCCTCCGAGTTGCGGATCTGGCTGCCAACCAAGTGACGGAGATCTTCCCGCTTACCTTTGGGGAGAAGCCCGCGCTCAGGTAGCCCCTGGCCCAGCCCGGACCTCTCCGACCTCAGATATGCCTGGGGTCACTCCCTACCCCTGGAGGCCTGAGGGGATCAGAGCCTGCCCTTGAGGGTGTGCAGGGGCAGAGTCCTACCCCTGGGAGGGAGGTGCGGGGGGGGGGGGTGGATCTGAGGCAGGACACCCTGGATGCCGTCTGGAGAACCGCGACACGAGGCGGAGACAGTGCGCGGAGGCGTGCGCATCCTCACACTGGAGGCCGCGCTGGGGTGCAGGGGGCGGGAGTGGGGGCCGGTGGGAGGGCCGGGGGCAGGCTGGTGGCCGGAGCCTGGCTCCCCTCAGGTCCGTGTACCTCCACAACAACCAGCTGAGCAACGCCGGCCTGCCCCCTGACGCCTTCCACGGCTCTGAAGCCGTGGTCATCCTCAGCCTCTCCAGCAACCGGCTCAGCTACTTGCCGCCCAGTCTGCCACCCTCGCTGGAGCGGCTCCACCTGCAGGTGCCCCTCCTCCACCCTGCCAGCCCCCTGCCCGCCCCCTTTCCCTCTCTCCTGGGGGAGCCCCCCCCCTCCCGAGAATGCCAGTAGTCACAAGTATCTTCGAGTCTTGCCCACTGGCGCGGGTCACTCACGGGTGCTCTCGGACCCGCGTTGCCAAAGCTAGCTCCCTGCTACTCCCTTACTCAAGAGCCTTCCATAGCTCCCTGCTGCTGTCTGTCCCCCGACCCCTGGTCTCGCCGTCTCCTCCTTTCCCAGAACAACCTCATCTCCAAGGTGCCCCGAGGGGCACTGAGCCGCCAGACACACCTGCGGGAGCTCTACCTCCAGCACAACCAGCTGACGGACAGCGGCCTGGATGCCACCACCTTCAGGTGGGGCCTGAGACAGGGGAGGACACAGGTGCAGCCTTGTGCTGGCAGGAGGGGTTGAAGGTTCCGAGTCCAAGCCCCACCCCCCGCAACCCTCCAGCCCCCTCCGGGGTATGACCCCCAAACCGAGGCCTCATTTGCTGAGCACCTGCTGTGCACCAGGCTCATCGGAGCACCTAGCAGCCATCCTTTTGCTCCCAGCTCCTCTGTGCCTGGGTTCTATTTTCCAAACGTCATCACCGCCGCATGCAGACTTGCACCCAGAACTCTGTCCTGGTCACCTCCACATCCAGCCCAGGGGGCGGGACTCTGCCCTGATCTCAGCAGGTGCCCCTCCCACCCAGATCTCGTGACTCGCCCACCCCCAAGTTGGGGTCTCCGGCTTCTATCACGGGAGCACTCCTCAACCCTCACCCCCAAGGTTCACCTGTCCCCACCCCACCCCCCCCGCCCCCCCCCCCCACCCCCACCCCCCGCTCAGCACCCAGCCCCACGCCAGCCCTCTCTCCCACCAGCAAGCTGCACCACCTCGAGTACCTGGACCTGTCCCACAACCGGCTAGCTTCGGTGCCCGCGGGCCTGCCCCGCACCCTGGCCGTGCTGCACCTGGGCCGCAACCGCATCCGCGGGGTGGAGGCGGCCCGGCTGCGCGGGGCGCGGGGCCTGCGCTACCTCCTGCTGCAGCACAACCAGCTGGGGGCGACGGGGCTGCCCGCAGGGGCGCTGCGGCCGCTGCGGGGCCTGCACACGCTGCATCTCTATGGCAACGGGCTGGACCGCGTGCCCCTGGCGCTGCCGCGCCGCCTGCGGGCCCTGGTGCTGCCCCACAACCACGTGACCACGCTGGGCGCCCGGGACCTGGCTGGCACACCGGGCCTGGCCGAACTCAACCTGGCCTACAACCGCCTGGTCAGCGCCCGCGTGCACCGCCGGGCCTTCCGCCCGCTGCGTGCCCTGCGCAGCCTTGACCTGGCCGGCAACCTGCTGACCCGGCTGCCCGGCGGCCTGCCCGGCGGCCTGCACACCCTGCGGCTGCAGCGCAACCAGCTGCGGGCCCTCGAGCCGGAGCCGCTGGCCGGCCTGGACCAACTGCGGGAGCTCAGCCTGGCGCACAACCGGCTCCGGGTCGGAGACATCGGGCCCGGCACCTGGCACGAACTCCAGGCCCTCCAGGTCAGGCGCCGGCCGGTCAGCCACACTGCCCCCACCGCCCCTCCGGTCCCCTCCATCCCCACGCCTTGCAGCGTCTTCCCACAAGGCTCCGAGATGCCTCAAAGAGAGCCCGGCAGACGGACCCGGGGTGGGTGAGGCAGAGCCGGCCTCCGGGCCTTGGGCCGTGCCGTCCCTGCCACCTGGTCCTCGGCAACCAGCCCCTCCGCCTCCCCGGGGAACACGGCCCCCCTGGTTCCTCCTGAACGCGGCTGCTTCCAGAGTTTAGAGCATCTGGGGGTGCAGGCGCTGTCCTAAGCGCTGGAGAGGTGGGCACAGAGCGACACAGCTCCGGGCCCGTGGCACCGACGCACTAGTTAGGGAGAAAGCGGTTGGTCAGTAGACGGTGTCGGGAGGGTGTCCGGTGAGGGAAGTGCCATCCTCGCGAACGACTGCTTCGATCTCTCCCGCAGCAGGCAGGTCCCCATCTGTCTGGGACCCCGGCACCTAGAGCCCAGCCTGCCCCAGACGGAACTCACTGTACCTCTGTCGGGGCTGGAGGGAATTTGGCAATGCGGAGGGGGTTGAGGGGAGGAGGCCCAGGCTGGTGTGGAGTGCCCGGGCAGAGAGGTTTGGGGCTCAAGGCCTGGGGCCGCCGTGGCATCATCTCTGCCCAGGTGCTGGACCTCAGCCACAACGAGCTGTCCTTTGTGCCCCCTGACCTGCCCGAGGCCCTGGAGGAGCTGCACCTGCAGGGCAACCGCATCAGCCACGTGGGTCCTGAAGCCTTCCTCAGCACTCCCCGCCTGCGCGCCCTCTTTCTCAGGTGCCCCGGAGGCGGCTGGGGAGAGCGAGTCCTGGGGGCAGGGGGCCCTGAAGGGCTGCGATGGGCTCCAGCAGGCCTGGGTGGGCCAGGACGGTCGTGCCCCCCCCCCCCCCCCCGCTTCCTTTGCACCCACCCTCACGCCTGCCTCTCGGTTACAGGGCAAACAGGCTTCACATGACCAGCATTGCACCGGACGCCTTCCTGGGCCTCCTGCACCTGAGTGTGGTGGATACGGCGGGCAACCCCGAGCAGGTCCTGGTCCGGCTGCCACCCACAACTCCACGTCAGCCACGGGCAGGGAGCCCCCGAGCCCGGAGGGGTCCAGCAGTGTAGCCCAGACCCCTGGGGCTCCACTGGGTCACGGACCGAGGAGACGGCGCCCACCCGGGGCCTCAGCCAGGCTCTCCCAGGCCTCAAGGGCCCGGCCAGGAAGCTGGGGACAGGGGCGCTGCGTCCACACACAGGGAGCCCCGGGAGAGACTCAAGCATGCAGCTCGCACGCCAGGCACGCAGACCACACCAGCCCCGCCGGACGCGGTCCCCACTCCCCGCACAAGTGGAGGCGGCAACAATAAAGCCTAATAACCCTGTCAAGTGCTCACCACCTGCCAGATGCCCTTCACCTTGCAGGAGGGGCTCTCACCATCCCAGCATCCAACTGAGGAAACTGACGCTGTGGGATGCTAAGAGGGTCAGGCAATCTGGTCCAAGTCCCGGGGCCAGTGAGCAGCCGGGCTGGATTTCGAGGGGTCAGCAAGAACCACCACGTGACAGCTGACCGTACGTACACACTTGAACACACCCAAGGCCACCAGCTACAGAAACACACGGCACGGCAGACGCCCTCAAGCAGGGCACAGCCCTCACACACGTCCCCGGAGCAAGTGTGCGAATCGAACGCATCCTTCACGGGCACTCTCCCCCCACGGCCTGCCCCTCTTATGGGCACCTTGCCATCAACCCCCGGGGGACTGTGGGAGAGACCCAGCTGGCCACAGGGCGGGGGCAAGAAACATCAACAGGACAGAGTGAGCCAGGCGTGGCCCTGGCTGTTTATTCCCTGTGTCAGCCCTGGGGAGCCAGCTGGGCTCTGGCTGACCTCAGTGGCTTCTTTGGGGTGTGGGTGGGCTTCAGGGTTAAGGCTGGGGAGGGATAGGAAGTAAAGTGCTTGCAGGGGCCCTCGGGGCTTGGTCCTAGCTGCCCCCCCACCTCTGGGGCAGGCCAGGGGCCGGACACCCCAGGCTGTGCAAACGGGACTCTCCAGGGCCCACCCAGCCAGGCCGGGGGCAAGGGGCACAGGCTGGCTGGTGGTGCCATCCTCAGGGCCCCCCGCCAGGAAGAACCCGGCGGAGGACAAGTCCATCTGGAGCTGACGGTCTGCTGATTGTCTGCTTGTCTGGCCTCCGGCTGTGGCCTGGTCAGCTCCTCCCGGGGCCAGGGCCTTGGGCACTCTCCAGGGGCCGCCCATCCGGCCGACCCCTCACCTGCGGAGCCGCTGCAGCTAAGGAGAAGGCCGCCAGGGTCAGGGACGGGGTACTCGTGGCCACAGCCGTGCCCCACACCCCCCGGCCTGGCCGCTCACCTCACTCTCCACCAGGTTCCGCCTGTAGAGTGCCTCCTTTGCAGCCTCCTGGGGGCCGAGAGGCGGTCAGCGGGCAGCCGCGGGCAGCCCCGGCCCCCCAGCGCCCACCCGGCCCTCGCCTGGCTCACCCTGCTGCCGTCGCTGGCCAGGCGCCGGGCCGCCTCTGTGTAGAACTGCAGCTGACGCTCCAGCTGGGCCGCGTACTCTGAGGGTGGGGAGGGGTCAGGATGGGGGCTGCTGCCCTGCCCTCCCCTCCCCCACGCGCCCATCCCCGAGACCCTACCCCTCCGGATGCCCGGGCCCCCCTGCTCCAGCTGCGCCCTCTGCCACTGGCTGCGTTGCACGATGTCCTGGTACTGCTGGGCCACCTCTGGGGGCACCGGCCGCCGCGCCTGCCTCAGGGCCAGGATCTGGGGGGTGCAGAGTGGGGGACTGTGACGGCCCTGTCCGGGGCCTACCGAACCCCCAATCCTGCCCCAGCCAGCCTGTCAAAGCAGGCACCCACCTTCCGCTCCAGACGCTCTTGATCAAAGGCCAGCACGCTGAGGCTGTGCAGGGGCCGGGCCGATCTGTGGAGTTGGGGAGGGATGAAGGCCCGCAAGGACCCCCCCCCCCCCAACCCTGACCTCATTAATTCTCACAGACGCACTGGGCGCTGGGGAACAGCAGGAGATAAGCTAGGCCCACCCTGGTGTTGCAGAGCCCACGACCTAGTGGGGCTGAAGGCTATACACTCAGGCAACTGCCGTGCCCGGTGGTCAGGGAAGGTTTCCTAAGGAAGAACACAGCCAAGCTGGGAGCCAGAGGAGTTAGAGCTGGGCAGGGGAGTGGGGAGCAAGTGCTGGGTAGGGGGGCTCATGGCATCATCAGAAGACAGAAAAGCCCAGAGGCCAGTGAAAACGAGGTGTAGATAACCATGAACGAACAGGAGGAAGTGGGGTGGGGCGAGACTACTGGATATATCGATAATGGTCCAATCACAAAAGATCCGAAAAATCAGGCTGAGAAGTGTCAGGACGTTTCAGGAGACGGGGAGCCAGGAGACGTTTTGGAGCAGGGAAGGGATGCATTACAATTCGTGCCTGATGGGAAACTGTCCAGGAGGGGCTGAAACAGGAAGAAGGGACTTCTCTCCAGCATGGCTTGACCCAGCCACCTACCTGTTCCCTGGCTCCCTCGAAGGGGTGGGTACGGGAGGGGCCTTCCCTTTGGGCCCAGCAACCTGCTTCAGTGGACAGAACCAGTCTTGTGATTCCCGGCCCGCTTGAACCAAGCCTCCCTCCCTGGGGTTGCTGATGGGCAGGAGTCTCACCGTGGGCGCGGCTGCTGGCACGGGGTCAATGACCAGCCACCTCTCCGTTGTGGTCTCCAACTGCTGGGCGGTCAGTGGCTCCCGAATCCGGACCATCACCTCCAGCCGCCCCCCGGTGGGCCTGCGACCATCCAGGACCTGGGTGGAAATGAGGGGAGGCTACTGAGAAGCAGGCAGTGGCTGGAGGCCCAGGGCCGAGATCAGAGAGAACCAGGGTAATTTCCAAAATCTGAGCCCCTAGATAGATAGAGCCGAGATGCCAATTGGTCAAAATGGAGCAGGGTGCTGGGAATATTTAGGGCTGGGTAGTATGGAGGTCTGGGATCCCTGGGGGAGAAGCTGGGTCAGCAGAAGAGACCCCTAGGAGGCCCAGGGCCTGTAGGGAGCTTTTGAATAATGTTAACAAGTGACACAGCCACACCAGAGCCTGTGGGCAAATGTCCACATCTCACCTCAAGGATCTCCCGGACCTCACACGCGGTCTCCAGGGTGTCCAGCTTCAGCTGGGCTGTGCCCAGCACCCGGTCAGTCTTGAACAGCCCCCTGTGTGCGTGGGGGGGACAGGACGGTTGGCCCAGGGCAGCTCCCCCTCCCCCAGAGTCCGCCCAGCACCTGCACCCCCAGCTCACCCCTTGTGGACCACTTCAAATTTGATGCCTTTGGTCTGGATGGCCCTTCGGAAGCCGCGGTGGCTGCGGTTGATGCAGAGTTTGAACTGCTCCTTGAACTCTACTCCGGGAATGAGGACAGGCCCAGGAGGAAAGAGGGAGGGGTCAGGCTATGGTTTCAGGTTCTCTCTGCATGGGGCTGGGGTGCCTCCCGGCAGCCACGGCCTCCTCCCCCTCCTCCTCCTCCGCTCACCGGGGGAGTCTGTGTTCTTAATCACACTGGTCTTGTCTTTCTGAGCTTCTTCCTAGAGCCAAATCAAATAGGAGGCAGGAAGGCTCAGGGGCTGGGGCCTGCCCTTGGACCCCTGCCGACCCACTCCCGAGGATGAGGCTTGAGCCCATCTTTCCTCTCCTGGGCTCTCTACATACCACGTTGGGATAGGGGAAGTCAAACCGAACAAAGACATCCAGGTCGCTGGGAGACAGCCCTGTGGGCAGACAAGGGTCAGAGCCGGGCAGGGAGGCAGTCCCGCAGCCCTGACCCCTGCCTGGCGCCCCTCACCTGGGGGCGTGGGCAAGTTGATGCCCTTCACGATGAACAGGAGCATGTCGTTGCTGCTGAGGTCAGGGAAGATCCTTCCGGGAGGGCAGGTGGGGAGACAGAGGCACGTCAGCCCCAACGCCTGCCCGCCTTCTTTTCCCTTTGTGGATCCAGGGAACACACCCCATGCTGGCCTTTGTAGCTATATGGGCTCCTGGGCTCCAGTTTTAGGATCTGGACAGACTGGAATTCTTTGTCCAGATCTGCCAATGGCTTACTTTCGAGACTTTTCTTCAGTCTGGGACCCACTCTGCGCCAGCCAGTGGCTTCACTGCTGGGGGACCTTCCCTTCATTTAACAATACTTCTGGGGGGCGCTTGGGTGGCTCAGTCGGTCAAGAGTCCGATTTCAGGCCATGATCTCAGGGTTCGTGGGTTCGAGCCCCACGTCAGGCTCGGTGCTGACAGCTCAGAGCCTGGAGCCTGCTTCAGATTCTGTGTCTCCCTCGCTCTCTGCCCCTCCCCCGCTTGCACTCTGTCCCCCTCTCTCTCTCTCTCTCTTTCAAAAATAAATAAACATCTTAACAAATTTAAAAGAGCAATATTTCTGCAGCCCCTACTATGTGCCTGCTGGTGTCCTCACTGATGGGGATATAGTGAAACAGACCCCATCCCTGTGCTCATGGAGCCCAAGCTAGCTGAGTGAAGAGAAGACCAATGCATATATAAACAGAGGAAACAAAGCAATTCTGCAGAAAATTAAAATAGGGGAAGAGAGTGGAGCATGCTCAGGATGGGCTGTTGTAGACGGGAGTGGTCAAAGAGGGCCTCTCAAGGGAGGCGACATCATAGGTGATTCTGGATGCCAAGAAGGCGCTACTACACGGAGACCTGGGGAAGAGGGTCTGTGCAGAGGAAAGAGCCAGTACAAAGGCCCTGAGGATGAACATGCTTGGTTTGTCTGAGGGACCAAAAACAGGCCTGTGTGGCAGGAGGCAAGCAACGTGGGGACAGTGGGTGGGGACGAGGTGATGGGGAGCCAGGCTGTGCAGATGTGGGAGAGCCAAGGTAAGGGGTGTGGGGTATCCTAGGTTGTTGCAGTGGCTGTGCCTAACCCCATCTGTAAGTGAGGAAATGATCCCAATTCCCCACGGTGTGGGAAGGCTTAAGAGGAGCAGGACCAACAACAACCACGCTGAGGGCTCGCCCGGGGCCTTGGGACAAGGCACATCTCTGCACTCACTCGGTCTTCCCCATTTCTCAATGTGTCACTGGCAACTCCCCAACACCATCTTTCACTTGCACCTCATGCCTGCCTCAGGACCCTTGCATATACTGTGCTTTCACCGTGCAACCAAACTCTCCCCCAGAGGCAAGTCCTCTGCTGGCTTCTGGGGAGTGCAAGCCCCTCTCCAAAGGGGCATCTGGGCCAAGGGGCATCAGGGCCTTACTTGATGACGCTGAAGGTTCTCTGCTCAAAGCGGGCAGTGGGCGTGGGGAGACCTCGGGCGAATGCCTGCTTCAGAATCTCCATGCTCCGCTTACAGT